AATGGTGGGTGTTTACGCAGTTGGCTAGAGCAGTGCTGATTGGGGAGAACGGAGGTGCGCTCACTCTTGCCCAGGGCAAGTAAGATTGCAACTCAAGGCTGGCAGTCATGCATATGCTCTGGAACAGAGTAATATCGCGTCCACATCGCTGGCTTTGCCATTAGGAAATCGCAACGTCTTAAATCGCGATTTCGATTCGATTTCGATTAATCGCACAGCCCTAGAGTATACTAGCACTACAATAGCAACCATGAAATGTTTTTAATTTCCATAAGTATAGAGCACCTTTGGCTTCCTCGCCAGTAGTCTTAAAGTCACCCATGGAAAGCTGCATTAATACCTGTTCCCACTTCCAAGGGAATTTGTCACATACAGTTATCAATCATTTCTAGTGCTCAGTTGGTCCACAAAGCAGATGGTTACAGGTAGTTGTAAAAACCTGGATCTCTGTATAAATAAAGTGAAACTAGAGCATATTGTATGAGAGGCTGCACACAATAGCAGTCCGAAGGCATTTTTACTAGTTCCTTAGGAGATGCTGGAAACAGAGTGTAGTTTACAGATTCTCTGTAATCCGAGTATAATTTTCTGTTAACATGCTGTGCAAGTCACTGAAATGGTCTTTTAATAATGGAATTCATCTGAACTAGAAAGAGATACATAAACAGTCACATTCAGTTGCACATCTTATTTGGTTAATTATTTTTAATTCCGATAGCAATGTGTTGTATGTGTGGAATTTTATGTGCAGAATTGTTATTTGGGGAGAAAAAACAATTATGTAATAAGGTCAATTATGCAAGTATGTAATAAAGTGTGACTCACATCTGGGCTGATCCATTTGGCCTTGATCTTTTCTGATATTTCATGTGTGCGCTCCAGCAGGTCAATGCCTTCTTTGCTCTGAAACACAAATAAACACATTCAGAAAGAGTGACTTTCAATCAATTATTGTTAAAGGGAAACTTCACCCAGAAATTAAAATTCTGTCATCATTTATTCACCCTCATGTTGTTCCAAACCCATAAGACCTTCATCTTCTTGGACTAAATAACATACGAGAGTTTCTACTGAAATTCAAAGATAATGCTACTGAGAATAGTGATTGTAATAGTAAGTAATGCAGAAAGTTATTATTATAATAAATAATTCAAAAATAGAGTTTCTGTAGTCTATTTTATAAGTCATATATATGCTGATGCAAAAACCAAAAGACACTGGGAAAATGAATTATTGTGCCTCTAGAATCCATTTAAAACTATGTTGCTTTTTTAAAAAAAATAAATAAATAAATAAGGTTACACTTTATTTTGATAGTCCACTTTAGACATTCTACTAACTATAAGTAACTTTGCAACTACACGTCAACTAATTCTCATTCATTTGCAACTACATGTCTACTCTCATAGTAGACTGTTAGGTTAGGTCTAGGGTTAGTAGAATAAGTTGACACACTTGCAAAGTTTCTTATAGTCAGTATGTTGTATGTTGTGGACCCATCAAAATAAAGTGTTAGAAGATATTAAGCAGACAGTCTACTAATACTCTAACGACTGCTAGTTGACATGTAGTTGCAAAGTTACTTACTGTTAGTAGAATGTCTAAAGTGGACTATCAAAATAAAGTGTAACCTTATTTATTTATTTATTTTTTTTTAAAAAGCAACATAGTTTTAAATGGATTCTAGAGGCACAATAATTCATTTTCCCAGTGTCTTTTGGTTTTTGCATCAGCATATATATGACTTATAAAATAGACTACAGAAACTCTATTTTTGAATTATTTATTATAATAATAACTTTCTGCATTACTTACTATTACAATCACTATTCTCAGTAGCATTATCTTTGAATTTCAGTAGAAACTCTCGTATGTTATTTAGTCCAAGAAGATGAAGGTCTTATGGGTTTGGAACAACATGAGGGTGAATAAATGATGACAGAATTTTAATTTCTGGGTGAAGTTTCCCTTTAACAATAATTGATTGAAAGTCACTCTTTCTGAATGTGTTTATTTGTGTTTCAGAGCAAAGAAGGCAACTTGCAAAGTTTCTTATAGTCAGTATGTTGTATGTTGTGGACCCATCAAAATAAAGTGTTAGAAGATATTAAGCATAACGTCTACTAATACTCTAATGACTGCTAGTTGACATTATAATTATAAATCGCTAAACCCTTTTCTGAAATATTGCCAATTCGAAAGAGAGAGAGAGAGATGAAAGTTGCATGTGTGCGCGTCTGTGCGTGTCTCTTTTTAGAGTGAGTTTACTTCAAAAACAGCAATTTTATCCTCTCGTCGCTGGAAAATATAACGGTTTCACTTTATTTTGATGGTCCCTTTAACACATTCTGTTGACTAAAAGTAATGTTGCACCTACATGTCTACTAACTCTCATTAGAGTATTAGTAGAGTATTAGTAGACTGGTAGGGTTAGGGTTAGAATAAGTTGACACGTACTTGCAAAGTTACATATAGTCAGTAGAATGTCTTTTGGGAGACCATGACAATAAAGAGTTAGCAGATATTAAGTAAACAGTCTACTAATACTCTGATGAGAGTTAGTAGACATATAGGTGCAACGTTACTTATTGTCAACAGAATGTTCAAAAGGGACCATCAAAATAAAGTATTACCCAAGGGACAAGGGGAAGGGGTAGGCGAAGGGGAAGAGGAAGGGGTATAAAATAGAATTGGGATTGGGCCTTAGTTAACAGGTTGAGTTTTAAGGTCAAAAAATGAGAAAATGAAGATGCTAAAACTCTTGCCATTATTTTAGCTTTTTGTTTCTTTTAGTTTTTTAGTTTTAGGTCCTAAAGTCTCAGATGTCACAAACAGAAGCCTGGCTGCTCTCAAATACACTTGCATGGGGGTAGGGCGCACTATGGAGTGAGGGCTTCAAACGAAATCGAAGAACGAACTGATATGACATTATTTCGAACAAAATCAGGCCGAAAGGAAGTTCGTTCAGAGTTGGTTTCGGCAGTTTGAAACAGCTCACCAAAGCGAACTTTCTGGGGGAGTTTGTTTTGGCTTCTAAACACCTTTGAACTACCCTTGGACCATGGCGATTACGCAATCGGTGGGTGTGTTCTGGAACTCCACAGTCTTTGAAGCAAGATTTTTTTCCGGTTCATTACTCATTCCACAGAGGTCAGACAGGAGAACAACATCAAAAACAACAACAACAAGTTACAAGCAGTATGAATACACTGGAGTGTCGAATAGCTGAGCTGGTACAAATGTATCAACCTCCAGCATCACCGGGTGTTGGAATGTTAGAAAACAGTGTTCCGTCACCCACCCTTTTCAAACTTCTTTTCACCACCAAACGAAGAACGAAACAGACCGTTGTTTGAAGTATATCAGGGCCTTTAGATATGTCGGAGGTAGAAGTGTTCGCCAAACTCCCCCACATCCAGGCTGACAAAATTGTAAATGAATTGTCTCATAATTCATTTTAAATGGGCTACACGTTAGTTAGCATCCTATATTTGAGCTAATACCCCAAGTTTTGTGAAGTGCCACAAGGTGTCAAATCTTCTCAACAGTGCTGCTGACAACATGGCACTGGCTAAATGAGCGGCAGGCCTAGGACTGGAAGACAAAGAATGTTGCTGATTGTAGAGAACATTGTGTATAATAATGATCTGATGTAATAAACTTGAATACACTTTTCAATTTATGCAAATGCTGCAGCGGGAGCACCAAACCCTAATTTGGAGTTTAAAGACTACTGTCAAGGTTTACTATAAAGACACGCAGTGGGAAATTAGCACTGAAAAGGCATGGACAGTTATTTTTGCGACACACCTTATTGAATATGCATTTGTAGGAGTTTCCCTTTCGATTAGTAAATTTATGGGAGTACAGTATTTAAATGAATCACGTAAAGCAATTTACTAAGATTTGCGCTCATCAATTCACTGGTATTTGCGTCATTATTTAATGCCCCAAAAAAGCATGTCCCTGTTTAGTAAATCTGGCCCTAAGATGGTAAAAGTGTAGACAATAGATCACAAAGCTTAGAGTGCCCTACATAAAGAGATCAAAATGCTTAAATTCAAACTCAACAAACTTGAGGGAAGACTGACTGAGTTTATGGTGGGTCTGATTAAGAAATTTTTTGAGGAATTTTGTGGAGTTGCGTGTTCTAAATGTTTATCTTTTTATGTCTCTTATAATATTAGACTAGTTGGGTAGTAGGGTTGGGCGATGTCTACCAGGGTAGTTCCACAATTAGTTCTGGTACTATGAAAAGGTTCCCGCGGTGCGAAAGGCCCTCATGTGTCTGATATTCAAGTACTTTCAAGAAGCGTGGGAACCCTGGTTAGAGGTGTGGCTGAATCCGTATTCAGAAAGGCATGGAAAACAAATAACACGTTCTACGGAGCCACTAAAGGGACATGGTTAGCCGCTCGCTAGCGGTAGACTATTACATTACAGTACATATCGCTTACCACATACACAGAGTAAGGAGAGACGACTGACAAATATCTAATCTTGTAAAATGTGTGGTAGGTACTGCCGCTCCGTAGTATAGAGTTTGTGTGATCGCGAATCTCGAAAGCGGTTTCAATGCCCTGCATATTAGTAGCGGCTCCCTGA